ATGGAAAAATGTTCCATGCTCATGGATTGGGAGAACCAACATTGTGAAGATGTCAATGCTACCTAGAGCAATCTACACATTCAATGCAATCCCCATCAAAATACCATCCACTTTTTTCAAAGAAAGGGAACAAATAATCCTAAAACTTGTATGGAACCAGAAGGGACCCCGAATAGCCAGAGGAATATTGAAACAGAAAAGCAAAGCTGGCGGCATCACAATTCCGGACTTCCGGCTCTATTACAAAGCTGTCATCATCAAGACATTATGGTCCTGACACAAAAACAGACACATAGATGAATGGAACAGAATCAAGAGCCCAGAAATGGACCCTCAACTCTGTGGTCAACTGATCTTTGACAAAGCAGGAAAGAATGTCCAATGGCAAAAAGACAGTCTCTTCAACAAATGGTGTTGGGAAAATTGGACAGCCCCATGCAGAAGAATGAAACTGGACCATTTCCTTACACCACACACAAAAATAGACTCCAAATGGTTGAAAGACCTAAACGTGAGACAGGAGTCCATCAAAATCCTAAAGGAGAACACAGGTAGCAACCTCTTCGACCTCAGCCGCAGCAACTTCTTCCTAGAAACATCGCCAAAGGCAAGGGAAGCAAGGGCAAAAATGAACTATTGGGATTTCATCAAGATAAAAAGCTTTTGCACAGCAAAAGAAACAGTCCACAAAACCAAAAGACAACCGACAGAATGGGAGAAGATATTTGCAAATGACATATCAGATAAAGGGCTAGTATCCAAAATCTATAAAGAACTTATCAAACTCAACACCCAAAGAACAAGTAACCCAATCAAGAAATGGGCAGAAGACATGAACAGACATTTTCCCAAAGAAGACATCCAAATGGCCAACAGACACATGAAAATGTGCTCAACATCGCTCGGCATCAGGGAAATCCAAATCAAAACCTCAAGGAGATACCACCTCACACCAGTCAGAATGGCTAAAATTAACAAGTCAGGAAACGACAAGATGTTGGTGGGGATGCGGAGAAAGGGGAACCCTCCCTCACTGTTGGGAATGCAAGCTGGTGCAGCCACTCTGGAAAACAGTATGGAGGTGCCTCAAACAGTTGAAAATAGAGCTACCATACGATCCAGCAATTGCACTACTGGGTATTTACCACAAAGATACAAATGTAGGGATCCGAAGGTGTACGTGCACCCCAATGTTTATAGCAGCAATGTCCACAATAGCCAAACTGTGGAAAGAGCCAAGATGTCCAACGACAGATGAATGGATAAAGAAGAGGTGGTCTATATACGCAATGGAGTATTATGCAGCCATCAAAAGGAATGAGATCTTGCCATTTGCAACAATGTGGATGGAACTGGAGGGTGTTATGCTGAGTGAAATAAGTCAATCAGAGAAAGACATGTATCATATGACCTCACTGATATGAGGAATTCTTAATCTCAGGAAACAAACTGAGGGTTGCTGGAGTGGTGGGGGGTGGGAGGGATGGGGTGGCTGGGTGATAGACATTGGAGGGGTATGTGCTATGGTGAGTGCTGTGAATTGTGCAAGACTGTTGAATCGCGGATCTGTACTTCTGCAACAAATAATGCAACATATGTTAAGAAAAAAGAAAAAGAAGAAGATAGCAGGAGGGGAAGAATGAAGGGGAGTAAGTCGGAAGGGGAGACGAACCATGAGAGACGATGGACTCTGAAAAACAAACTGAGGGTTCTAGAGGGGAGGGGTGTGGGGGGATGGGTTAGCCTGGTGATGGGTATTCAAGAGGGCACATTCTGCATGGAGCACTGGGTGTTATGCACAAACAATGAATCATGGAACACTACATCAAAAACTGATGATGTAATATATGGTGATTAACATAACAATAAAAAATTAAAAAAAAAGAATTGCTAGATGAGCAGATCTCATGAGTAGCTCAGGTGCCTAAAGTCAACACCATCCATACTTTCTCCATGTTTCTATTGAGCCCCTGATATGAACATAACCCTAAACAAATCCTTAGAAGCCTTTCTTCCCCCACGCTGACAGCATGCTGCACTTAACCACGGAAATTCTGCCTGCCTGGGTAGCATCTTAATTTCTCTTTTCATAATAAAAATAACAGAACACAACCAATCACCCCTATTACCATCTTTCTAAGTAACCACGGTTAGAATTTATCTGCTAGCGTATGTTGCCAATCATCCAGATGTGCTTTTATAGCTTTATCAGTGTAATCACCCCTTACATTCCATTCCCTAGCTTTTAAAAATTTAGGAGAATATCATCATTGCTATGGTATTACATGAGGCTTAGCAGCATGATTTTAGTGACCAATAGTTCATTGAGTCTATGGGTTAACTAACAATGATGGAGGGCAATCCCCCCTCACCGACACCTCCAGTTTTTCATTATTAGAAATGCCCTGGCATGAATACACCTGTCCATTGAGCTTTTCCACACAGAGAATTATTCACGTAGGATGAATCTCCAGGAGTGAAACTGCAGGGCTGAGCAGTTGGGCTACTTCTGCAGAGACCGTATTTTTCCGACTGTGTTCTGCTTACATTGTGAACTGAGAAGGCAGGGCCAGGTCAAGAAGGGGGGGTAGAAAACGGGGTTCCGTTCCTCACCTCCCCTCACCTCACACTTGACCCAGGCCCACCCGTCAGGTCGTCCTGCTGGCTTGGACCGTGTCTGAGCCCAGAGATATTCCTAAGTGAAGATCGCACTGACCTCTTACAACAGCTGCCTTCTCAGACTCGACATCCAGATGGCGGCTGGTCTGGAAGAAAAGACATCTCAGCAGTTATTCTGAACGGCTCAGGAGAAAGGGCCCCAGGACGGTGGCCGCAACGGGAACGAAGCAGGCTTCCCACCCCTCCCTGCAGGAAGCACATTCCCTGCGCAGCTCCACCCGCCCCTCCCCTGCCCGTGGCCCACAGAGGAGGAGGACCGGCTCTGAGGGAGTACAGGTGCAGGAAACGACTGCATTTCCTTCACCCGAATTCATTCTCCAAACGGAGCCTGTGATTAATGTGTTTTAGAAACTGCTGTTGAAAGTGGGTAAATGGAGGGCAGCTGGACGGCAAGAGTTTCCAAGAGGAACATTCCTTCTCCACGGAGGTCCGACCGACACATTGTGAGAGCTGATCGCTGAGCTGCCCCTGGAGTCCCTGGCTGTCGCCCAGGAACTCAGGTCGGGCTGGAACCCGAGTCCCCCATGCCACCCCATCGACTGGGTGGTGGTCCTCCTGGATCCCATGACCGCACGGGGTCTGCAAGAGCGGTGTGGCAATGGCAACTTGGCTGGTTGGCCTGGCAGCCCCTAACTGGTTCAAGATCAGTGCTGGCCTCGAAGGCAGGTCGGATGCCAGACCAGCGGCCCAGACCTTGCTTCTTCATGGGTGTTTCTGGTAGAGCAGGGGCCCTGTGAGATGGTCACTGGGATACCTCCTTTCCCCAGTCACTGTGCCCAGCAAGCATTACATCAGCTGCCCCCCTGCCTGAAGGCCCCGGTGCTCACTCGCTCTCTCCCTATGTGTATGCCATGACCTCATTCAAATGTCCCCTGCTGTGTGAAGTCTTCCCTGACTCCACCCGGCAGAGTTCAGCCACCTACCTGTCACAAAGCCCCTCCATGTGCTGTGCTGGGACAACTGGGCCATTTGTCCCCTCTAAAGGGGATTGATGAATCCGGCAGCTAATGCACAAGGGCACAGATTATGGCTTGACCACAATCCACACACTTACTGGAGCCTTCTGCACTAGGCACGCTCGCTGCCTCTTCTTAGCGCTCGGTGTTTATATCCCCAGGACACCACGCATCTTCCAGCACCTTCACTGTTCACACCCCAGGGCCCTCCCTCATGCATGTCTCCGGGTCTCGAGTGCCTTCATTCCATCCCTCCAGCTATCATAACCCCCCTATATCCTTCCAAGCCTGGTGTGCGTACCTTCTCCTCCAGGAAGCCTCTTCCCCATCAAGTCTCTCTCTCCTCTCTGCTCACTGCCCGTGCTCCACACACATGCCTCCCCTTGCACCTGGCTTTAGATCATGTCTCATTCGATGCAGAAGCCTTCAACGTGAGAACAAGGTTTCCTTGACCTTCGTATCCAGGGCAGCCTCAGCTCCGTTCAACTGGCTTCCAGGGGGCACTGCATTCGGCATGTGATCAGGGTTTTAGTGGTCCTTCTCTGCTTCCTGCTCCTCCTGTATCCCACCAGCCTGGACAGGCTCAGAGCCAGACACTCTCAGGCTGAATCCTGGTTCTGCCGCTTACAATTCCATGGTCTTGGCCAAGTTAGTGGAACTCCCTGAGCCTTGCCCTATCCATCTGTAGAATGGACATTCTACTAAGTCCCTTGCGGGGTTTTGGTGGAATACAATGAGAATGGGTATCTACTGGATGTTCCACACAGGGTAGCAAAGATTTGCCCTACATGTTCCGCTCCCCCTGCCTCTCTCTCTGTGTAAACTTTTGGGGAATATCCTAAACTTCATAAAAGGCAAAAGCTAAAGAGAAAATAATTGCCTGGATCCTTGGAGGCCCAGGCTTGGGGTCGTTGATTTAATGAATCAGGGGAGTTTAGAGCTCCAAGTCTCGCTGCTTCTTTTTAAGACGAGATCCATTTCTGAAGGCCCATATATAGATCTTGTTGACAATACTCAGAGGAAAGCAAGCTTTTTCCAGGAGGTGGAGGGGAGAGAAACGAGCAGGGCAAGAGGAGGGAAATGAGCAGCTCCCTAGTCCCGATCACCTCCATCTTCCTGAGGTGCAGTCCAGATGACCCCCTGACCAGCCCCCCTCCACGCCTGCACTTTCATCTCTGACTTCCAGGCTCCAGAACCATGAGAAATGAATGTTTGTGGTTTAAACCCCCACCTGTGGGATTCTGTTACAGCTGCCTGAGCCGACTAAGAGACTCAGACACGGCCCCGAGGAAAAGGCACAGGTGCTCAGAGGGCCGAGGCGTACCATCTATCACCCGCCCCACCAGGGCAAGAAAATCATCAACTCAACGGGAGATACACATTGACCCGAGTGATCTGCTGCCGGTGTGAGCACTCTACTCCAAGGGCAGGAGTGTGGACGGACATAGCTCTGAACCCCAGGCTGCCGGCCCCAGGTGTGACCCTGACTAGCTCTTTGACTGCTCTGAGCCTCGGTTTCCCCCTGATAAAGCGGGCCTTGGGAGGATGAAGTGAGCTAATCCATGGAACATGCTGGAACAGGGGAGGGCTGAGTCTCGGCCATAATCGCCACGTCCAGTGAACAAACGAATGGCAGCCTGTCCTTCCTTGGACGTCTGCGGTCAGTGTGGGTCTCCTCCCAAGGGCAGAGACCAAACATCCTGAGCCTCCAGGGTCCAGGCCCTCCCAGAGATGTTTCCGCAAGGCCTCAGTTGGCATGTAGGCCGGCCCTGCTGCCCAGCCTCAGTACTCCCTCTGCTCTGGTGCATCCCACCCCGAGCCCACACGTGTCTCTCCCCAGCCAGCCGGGCAGGGCTCCCAGGCTGCAAGCCAGGCTCCACAACCTGCATCGGGAATTCCATCTGTGTTCTCTGAAATGAGAGTCAGTGCCCATAAAGTCAGTGCCCAGCTGCCAGCAGGAGGAATTGCCACCACCACCTCAAGGGTCTCGGTGGCCCCCAAGGATCTGCTCGGCTGCCTGGCCCTCGGTCCTCACAGCCTAAGTCACTGGCTATTGAACTAGACAAGCTGCCATGTACACGGCCTTCATGGCACTGGCAGCCCGGCCTAGCCCACACGCCTGCTGGATCTGCCTTCCCGAAGCACAGGGACCCCGCTCATTCAGGAATGAAGCACAAGTGACCTCCCACCCACTCCAGTCTCCCACCACTGCTCCCCTCGGCACCCAGCCCCTCCATCCAGCCAGCCTGGAGCACCACCCTTGGTTTCTTAGACACATCACTGCCTAGTGGCCACACGCTGAGGGTTGGCCTTCCAGCAACAAGAGGGATCAATTCATTGAGGACGTGGGATGTGCCAGACCCGGCGTTGCAGCCCAGACTCCCAACAGCGCACATGCACCTGCTACACCCCCTTTCCCACAGGCTCGTGACTGCAGTGGCAGGACCCAGAAGCCCCCTACTGGAGTCAAATCCCAGCTGGGCTCAGCGAAGCAGTTTCACACCGAGAAGGCCGAGCTAGAAAGCTACTCAGAGATGTGTGTCTTTGAGCCAGACTTGCAACCACTGAGCCTCAGGTTTCCCATCTGGGGAAGGGATAATGAGGCTTCTTCCCCATGGAAGGACCTCCTGAGTGAGCTTCATAAATCATGCAGGAAGTGCCCGTGCACTGTTAAGGGGTACATATAAGTGTCCCCTCCTATGGCAAACAGGCAGTGGTGGAGCTCCCTGACGTCAGAGTGTGCCCTCTTGACAATTGCCCACACGAAGGCCAGGTTCCTACCCAGTGGGACCCCCTGTATGGGACGCTTAACAGATTATCTGTCTTCAGGTCAACTCTGCCATGTAGGCTATACTGTTGCCATTTTACAGATGGGAAAACTGAGGCTCGGAGCCTGTAAGATTCTTGTCCACTTGGTCTGTCCGCTTCACCATTTCTGCGCACCGCTCAGCACCAGGTCTGGGGTATGGCGATAGGTGCTCAGTAAGTATCTGTGGATTTTGTGGTTTGCACAGAGAACAATGAGTCACCCACCCCTGCCCCAATCATGAAAATGGGGGTGTTCTTAGAGAGTGGAACTGTAAAGTAATGCAAAATGAGTCAGGGTGGATTCAAAGCCACCTTAGAACAGTAGAAGCTTATAACTAGCCACAGCTTTCAACAGGTCTCGGGGAGACATCCTGGCCGGGCGGGAGGCACGTCCAGGCCCCAGGAGCACATCCTTACAGGAAATGAATGAAATCAGGCTGACAATACCATTAACTCTCTCTGTTCTCATCCCAGTGTCCAAAAGGATTCTGATTATAAATGATTATAAGTGTTCAGTGAGTAACAAATGAACAAAGGAATGAATGAATGAACTTGACTTTCCAGACAACTCTGCCATTTAGAGGAAGAATATGCTGACATTTTTTTCATCCATCCATCCAATCCATCAGCCTGCACATGGTTCTAGTTCTCACAGGAAATTGATAAATTAGTGTTTAGGTGTATACATCAGTCTCTCTGAATTTGGTCATTGTAAGTCAGCCTATCAGCCTATCCAATCCCAGCAAACATTTTAGTTCTAGTTTCAGAGAAGCCCTTGGAGGGTGGGGCTCTCAGTGCTAAGATGCCCCCTCAGCACACAGCCAGCTGGCCCTCCCACGTGACACCTACTGCATCCCAACCCCTGGAACTCTGCTTTCCCTCTTGCCCCAGTCAACAGAGACTGTGCCAAGCATTTCAGCAAGCTGCTACCTTCTTTCCTCAGCCCTATGCTGGCTCTGAAGAGGCTTGAACCATCCATGCGAAGAGATGAGCACTGGACTGGGAGTCTGGGACTCTGGATTCAAATTCTGACTCTGAACCGAGTCACCATGTAGCCCTGAGCAGACCCCTTGGCCTCCAGGTCTCCGCCTCTTGGGCTGTGGGGGAACGGAAGGGACAGAGAAAGCACGCCTTGCAGAGCTGGGCTGGGAAGGGCCAAGGAGTGGAGGAGTGGAGCTAGTGCTGAGCTGCTGAGCAGGAGTGTGGAAAACAGGGCCGGCTCTGTCTACAGAAGGAACTGTACTTCGCCCTCACACCATCAGAAGCTGCGTTTGGGGGAGGGGGGGTGTTGCTGGCTGGTCCCCAGGAATGAGTTTGTGTGCCTGCCTGTGTGTGAAGGGGGGTGAGTTGTGGCCTCAGCTGAGCACCCACCGCACCATGAACACAGACCCCTGAACAGAGATATTCGGGACCAGACCTGGGTGATGTGCCAGACCCCGCATTGCAGCCCAGACTCCACGGCATCCACGTGGAGTGGCATCCACGACCATCCACACTGCCTGGAGGCTGTGTGACCTTGAGTCAGCCTCCCAACCTCTCTGGGCCTGTTTCCTCTTTGGATGGCTGTTAGGAGAGGAGATCCTCATTGAATTAGTTCCTGACTTCATTCACTCAACAAGTATTCCCTGAGCAGCTTCTCTGGACCAGGCACTAGGGAGACAGAGATGGTTATGGGGCCGCTCTGGCCCCAACAGAGGGGTGCTGACAAAGCTCCCACAACAGCAGGGGATAATCCCTCTGATATGCCACGGAGGACAGAGGATGTAGCTAACTCCGTGGTCCATGGGACTCAGGGAAGTCTCCCTGGACGAGGTCACACTTGAACTGCGTCTCAAAGGATGGGTAGGAGGCTGCGGGACAGACAAGAATCCTGCCGGGGTAGGGGGGAGTGGTGAGCGCTAAGGCCCTGGGGCACAAGTGAAAGAACCCCTGGTGCTTGCAGGACACTGTATTGATGCTGTTTGTGTGTCTGTCTCCCGCACTGGGGTGTAAGCACTTTAAGGGTAAGGACGCCCAGATCACCCTCCTGTACCAGCTGGGAGCACGGGGGCCAACACGGGGCCGGAGTCTTAGGCACGTTCTGGGTGGGCTCAGTGGACGGAAGCGGGGAGGGACAGTTCAGGTCAAGCGGGTGGACAGGAAGCTCATGGGCCCACAGCTGCCCCCGGAAGGGGGACAGCGCTGTCTATGGAAACTACCTCCGGGAGCCCCGGAGCCAGGAAGGTGGCCGCGTACTCAGCCAGCACCACGTCGTCCCCCATGCTCTGCGCCATCTCAGAGAGCAGCTGATCCTCCGCCCCGTGTCTGCACAGCTCCTGCAGTATGTGCCTGATCAGGCGGTTCCTCTCCCGGCACTTCTGGACCAGGGAAGCCAGCTTGGCCTGAAGGTGTGGGAGCAGAGACACAGCCAGGTGGGTCCACGGATGCCGGGCATCCTCAGGGGCTGGTCGGCTGAGCTGGGCTTGGGGCCTTGGGTCCCTGCTATGCATCCCTCAGCACTGCCTTAGCTCAGCCCCCTCCCTGCAATTCCTCCCCGTGCCCAGAAGCCAGAACCTGCTTTGAAAACAAATCACCACACTGCTGCACTCTGCCCCCACCAGGGGCTCCCCACTGCCCTCTGGATACAGGGTCCAGGATCAGGGAGTCAAGAGTGTGGACTCCGCCACTGACCAGCTCTGTGACCAAGCTCCTCTCTACACCTCGACTTGCTCATCTGTACAATGGGCATCGTTAAGGGCACCAGGGTAAAAGGAGCTCGTGTCCCTCTGTGCTTGGCTCCCAGCTTCCTTCTATCATGACAGTTGATTTTTGTATTTGTGGGTCTGTCTCCCACATAGCTTGGGAGTAACTCAAGTTCAAGAGTGACACAGCCCTGAATCCCTGCACCTTCGCTGGCCCATCGCTGGGCACAGCATGGCCCTTGGGAGGGATTTGTCATACAAATGGTATGAGTGAGTGACCCTCCCACCTTGAAATGACCTCTCGTGTCTGTACGTGTCTGGAGGGGATGACAGACTCTCGTCATTCGAGGGTGGCCCTGGGCCAGTCTCCTTCCCTCCTGGTGTGCTCTTCTGCTCCGTCAGAGGAGGAGGTGATGATCCTTTCCTGCCAGGACTTTTTGCCCAGAGGCTTGGGCACATCCCCTAGGCAGCGGTACTTGGACACCCAGTCCCGGCAAGAAGGCAGGGCAGGAATGGGGGCTCTGACTCGGAGGTCAGGGCTCTCAGCACACTGGGGTGGGGCTCCCCGGGCCCCCTGGACCACACCACCCCAAAACATCAGGGCCTCATGCATTCGGCCAGCATCTGCTGAACATCGTACGTGCGGCTCCCCCAAGAGAAGGTGGCCTTGTTGATGGTGACAGTGACTCTACTGGGCTCTTCATGAATCTGACCTCCTGGAGGGGCCGTGTGGCTGAGGGGAGCCTTTGGCATCAGATAGAGCTGGATGAAATCATGGCTCTGCTACCAAGTAGCTCTGTGTGACTATGCGCAGGTCACTTCCCCTGTGAGCCTCAGTTTTCCCCATCTGTAAGGTGGGGCTCATGTTCCCTTTTCCTGACATGCTGCTTGTGGACCTTAGAACAAACTCTGTGTGAAGTCCCTGGCATATGGCAGCCTTCATAGTTTATAAGGGATTATGGTCCTCGTTGAAGAAAAAGGTACAAGGAAATGACAAAAACGAGGGCAGAGCATGGAAGCTTCACGTTTTCATAGGGCGTTACAGTGGACGTTTCCACCGCTGACGTCAGGAGAAGCTGTGAGTGCGAATAACCATCACTCCATGTCACAGCCGTAGACCTGAGCATCTGACAGACATGGGAGCGCTGGGAGGGAGAAGGGCTTGAGGGCTTGCGTGGCTCACATTTCTGAGTTAACATCTAAGGAAACCGAGGCCCCAGCATGGGTCGGGCCAGTGAGTCAGTGGGGCCCAGGGCCCCCTCTGCACCCCGCCCGGAGACGGGACAGAAAGGGCTGGCCCTCGGGGTCCACTTCCCAAATCCAGGTGTCACATCGGAGGTGAAATGTGTCGTCTCCAACAAACAACACGTCCGAATGGCGAAGAACATTTGGGCCAGTAAGGCCACTTCTGGGAATCTGTCCTAAAGACACGTCTGGCTATGTAGGGAAAATCTTTCTAATAAAATGTGTGCATCACGGTGTTTATATACGAGAATGCAAAAGAGGGGGCAGGAGCAGGGAGGACGGACAGAGGGACCTGACCACGGAGCAAAGGCCCAGCAGCTTTATGTACTGCAGCATCTCGTGCTTTGTTCTCCAGCACGAACAGCAGATTCGGGGCTCAGGACAGACAAGGACAGGCCTTCTGGACTATTCTCAGGCAGGAAAAGCAGGACACAGACATGTAGGTGTGGTGGGATCTCAGACACATGTAAAGCATACTGGGAGAAAATACACGAAAACACTAGATTCAAATGGGAATTTGGGGGGTATTTCTCTTCTTCTCAGTTTTTTTTTTTAAATAATAAAGATGGACTAAACATCTAGAATGGGGAAAACCCGAGCTCTATTTGCTCGAAAGAGACATTTAATATGGACCTCATAGGCACAGCTGGTTTTTCTGAAGCTCACTAAGGTGAAAGAGAACCAACGTGCTTAAGAATGCTGAGTCCCCTTTTACACAGCCAGCGTCTCCCCAGGCAAGCTGGGCTCACAGAGGTTGGCTCTAGTCCCCTTTCCCCCCACATGGGCTTCTCAGTGAGGCACAGGGACCTTTCCCATCCTCGTCTCCACAAGATCAGAGGAGGAAGGATGCTCTGAGCACTGCCAGACTGCCGCTGTGGGGCCAGTTCTGTTGCCTCTTCCTTCGGGCAGGAAGCATTCCTGGATTCCCCCTGCAGACATGCCAGTTTTTTTGGTGCCATGTTAAACTTCTGGGTAACTGAGCCAGACACCCTGGGTCCCAATCCTGGCTCAGCCACTCACTAGAACTGTGACCTTGTACAAATCACCTCTCTTTCTGCCTCAGTCTTCTCACCTGTAAAGTGGGGGTAATATTAGCACCTACCCAATTAGTGAGGGTTATATAGCAGGGGCTCCATGAATTGTTTCCCTTTTGCTTAGAACATCCAGTTAATGCTCACTGAATGTAAACCATTATTATTATCCGGCACGCGTACGTGAGTAGAAGAACCCTGGACCTTCCAGGCGAGCCCAACACCTGGCTGAATACCAGCGAGTCATTCCCACTGATGCTTTGTGGAGCACAATTGCCCAGCCAAGTCCTGTCTAAATTGCTGACCCACAAAATCGTAAGACAGAACAAGATGGCTGTTCTAGAAGTTCTTCTCCTTCATCTTCTTGTTCCCTCTGTAGTCAGAACAAGAAAGCTACACAAATAAAAATCCTTCTTCCTCTTCCCAGTCTCTTCTGATCTCTCACGCAGGTCTCAACCCTGCATATTCACAACCAGAATGCCTACGTATGTATATACACATAGGAAATGACACTATTCAAACGTTTTACATCTTGGTTTTGTCACTTAATTTACATCAAAGGTGTTATTTCTATGTCAATACATACGGACTGATCACATCTGTTTAAAATCTTGCATATTATTTCAGCATGAGGGTGAAATATGATCTGTTGAGCCCATTCTTCATGAAAGTGTATATCATTTCTTTGCTTCACAAACAAGGCTCCGATGAACATTCCTATACAGCTCTTTTGGCATACCTTTCCGAAAGTATTCAAAGAGTAAAACGCCAGCTCCAAGCAGACAGTCTTCTATTCAAAAGGCACTCAATAATATTTGCAGGCTTGGATTCAACCTCCTCTCTGCTTCGGTTTAGGAAACAGCGTGAATGCATTGCAATGAAAAAGTCAATGAGAAGAAAGCGAAAAGACAACAGATGGGAGGAAATATTTGCCAACCACATATCTAATATGGGACTCATATCTAGAACATATACAGACTCTTGCGTCTCAACAACAAAGAAATAAACCACCCAGTTGCAAAATGGACAAAAGAACTGAATGGTCATTTCTCCGATGGAAGATAGACAAATGGCCAGTAAGCATGTGAAAAATGCTCAACACCATCAGCCACTGGAGAAAGGCAAATCAAACCACACGGAGCTAACACTTCGTGCTCACTGAGATGGTCATCACCAAACAGAGGGTAATGAACGTCGGTGAGCTCGTGGAGAGGTGGGGGGCCTCTGCCCATGCTGGTGGGAGTGGGGAACAGAGCTACGGGAACACAGACCGACCTTAAGGTAACTGTGATTGAAATGCTCCACCGTTATATTACAAGAATTTCATCAGAGAACAGAAAGCTACCAAAAAAAAAGAAAGAAAGAAAGAACCAAATGGGAGGGGGGAAATGAGTAGCTCAGTCAGTTAGGCATCTGACTCTTGATTTCGGCTCAGGTCCTGATCTCAGGGTCATGAGACTGAGCCCCGCATCAGGTCCTGTGCTCAGCAAAGAGTCTGCTTGAGATTCTCCCTCTCCCTCTGCCCTGCCCCACCCCACTTGCGCTTACTCTCTTTCTCAAAAAAAAAAAAAAAAAAGGCGGGGGAGGGGAGCTGAAATAAAATAAAAATTAAAAAGAACAAAATGAAGGGGTGCCTGGGTAGCTCAGTCTGTTAAGCTTCTGCCTTCAGCTCAGGTCTTAATCTGGGAGTCCTGGGATCGAGCCCTGCATCGGGCTCCCTGCTCAGTGGGAAGTCTGCTTCTTCCTTTCCCTCTGCCCCTCCCCCTGCTTGTGCACACACTCTCTCTCTTTCAAATAAGTAAAACCTTTTTTTTTTTAAAGGACCATATAGAAATTCTAGGATTGCAAAATTAAGAACAAAAATAATGAGTTTGTGAGTAAATCTGACTCTCCGGGAGAGAATTCACTGGAAGATGGGTTAGAAAAAAATACCCAAACTGAAGTGCAGAAAGAAAAAAAACATTGAAAATTATGAAAAACAGACTTCAAAAGATACTGGATATGATAAAAGCCCCAACATGTGCAAATGGAATTATGTTCCTCACAGATCAGTGGCAGGAGAAAAAAGGCCTAATAGCTCCCTTGCTGGCTGAGAGCGTGGTGAGGAACATTCCCTGTTCACTGCCTGGGCTTTGCCAGTGGTGCCAGTGCTGGGAAGGCTCTCTGCAATATGTATTAACAACCATCATTACCTGCACCAGTAATCCCAGTTCTCTGAACTCTTGCATATAAACAGGAATATATAAATTAATGGAAATAACCATAGATCCAACAACAGGTGAATGAAAATCACATCCACCCAATTACTGCACAGGCAAAAAAAAAAAAAAAATACTGGGCACAAGGTCTAGGATGCAACAGACATGAAACTCTAAGTATAGTGCATCTGATTATACAAAGAATGCATGGGAACGGAGCCAGAGATTACATCGCAATGTTGATGGTGTGTTTTTCATCCATCAGCTTGTCAAAAACATGTAAAATGTGATAACATTCAGAGTAACAAGTGCGGGCAAACACATACACTCATTTATTCCTGGCAGAAGCATAAATGATGCAGGGTTTATAGCGGGTTACTCGCCCTTACATATCAAAGTTAATTACATACATATCCTTTGACCCAATAATTACTTTGCTAGACTTTTACCCTTGGAATATGTAGCAGAAACATATCCCAAGACAGAGCTATAGAAAGGTTCACTAAGCTTTGTCAAGCAAAGAAACAGAAAAAATTTGGATTTCCATAAACAAAGAATTGATTCAGTCAGTTATGGTCTGGCCTTATGAAAATATAATACAGAGTTTTTAAAAAAATGAGATCAGTTTGTATGTGCTGATATGAAGATATCACCAAGATTTTCTATTAAATGAGAAAATTTAGGGTGCCTGAGTGGCTCAGTCGGTTAGGCGTCTGCCTTTGGCTCAGGTCATGATCTCCAGGTCCTGGGATCGAACCTATGTCAGCCTGCTTCTCCGTCTCCTCTCCACTTATGCTCTCTCTCACTATCTCTTGCTCCTCTCTCTCTGTCAAATCAATAAAATCTTTAAAAATAATTTTTTTTAATGAGAAAATCAAGACGCAGAATATTTTTGTATGGTAAAATTTCATTTATGTATACACATCCACACATACACTGAATGTGAGTAGAAAGGGTTGAAAAAAAAAATGCCAGAGTTCAGAAGGGGTTGGGGTCAAAGGGAGGAACGACTGTTTTTTTGTTTTGCATTTAAAAAATGAGATAATTATAGATCTACATGCAGTTGTAAGAAATAATACGAAGAAACCCCTTGTATCCTTTGCCCTGTTTCCCCCAAGGGGAACATTTTGCAAAACTATAGTATATTACAACCCTATAATGTCAATTATATTGGTAACAATCATGCTCAGATTTCTCTAGTTCTGCTTGTCCTGTGTGTATATGTGTGTACTAAGTTCTGTGCAATTTTATCCCCCACGAAAGTTCGTATCTCCACCATCACAGATAAGATAAGGGACGCTTTCACGTCGACAAGGATCTCTCTGCCCTTTCATAAAATCACACTCACTTCACTCCTATTTATGTAACATTTGAAAACTAGTTAGACTTTCTAGAAAAACGCATGTATACTAGTTTCAGATGAACAGAAGTTAGCTGGTGGAGGGATTACAGGCCTTGCTTCCTTCTGCATACTGTTCTTTACCTTGGAAATCTCATAAATACTACCAAAATGCTGGGAATGGTGAGATTTTGCCTGATTCTTTTTTCCATCTTCAAAACTTCCCAGAGGGGCGCCTGGGTGGCTCAGCCAGTTAGGTTAAGCATCTGCCTTTGGCTCAGGTCATGATCTCAGGGTCCTAGGATTGAGCCCCGCATCTGGCTCCCTGCTCAGCGGAGGGTCTGTCTGCTTCTCCCTCGTGTTCCCCAATTCATGCTCACTCTTTCTCTCAAATAAATACAATCTTAAAATAAATACATACATACATACATACATACATACATACATACAAAAACAAAACTTCCTGGAGCATGGGCCCATTTCATTTACAGGTGGGAAAGGAAGTGCAGCTCGAGCCTACCTCACCCTGGAGCTGGTCCCGGAGGCGGGCGGCTTCCCCGAGCGTCACCTGCAGCTGGAGGTGGGCAGACGCCTGGTCTCTGAGTTGGCACTGCAGGGTCAGCACCTGGTGCTGGAGCCGCCCCACGCGCAGCCTCAGGTCCTCCGTGGGGGGGTCCACCTCTGGGTCCCGCAGCTGTGGAAATCACCCATCTGATTGAAATGCTTAGATTAGCTTAGCTTCCAAGTAATTTGTCTCAGCAAACAAAGGACCTGTTTTCCTTCTTAATTTTTTTTCTGTCCTACATTTTTTCTCAGGTCAATATTTTTAGAAAATAAAGGAACAGAAATCACCCCAAGTCCTATTAGCCAAAATAATCATTATTATCCATATTTTTTTTCCCCAGTCTTTTTGCTATGCCTTTATGCATGTGCACGTGTGAGTGTGTGGCCATGCTGGGATTTTTGAGTGGAGGGGTGGGTGTTAGAGAGGGTCTGGGGAATCATAGAATAGCATTCAAAAATGTGATTTTCAGATATATATGTGTGTGTGGCTATATATATATATATATATATTCAGATATATATATCTTTTGCACATCTTTTCAAAAATATGCAAAATGGCATGGCATTCCAGAATCTGTTTTAATCGATTTCAGTCACCACGCTGCTTAAAAAAAAAAAAAAAAGTATAATGAATGGAATTTAAGGTTCAAATCCAATTAGGAGATGCTTATTACATTAAAGTATCCTCTGTTTATATAAAACAGAGGATACTGCACCCCCCCCCCTCCGCCAAACGCTTTTCTTAAATCAGTACAAAATGGTCTCTCACTCTTTTTGGGTCAGACATGAGCGGGTTTCCTACGGATGTCATGGGGAATTTCTGGGAGGCAGAAAGGTGGGAAGGAGAGGTGATTTAGCACTCTGGGAGTGTGGCTGGATAGCAGTAATACTGCTATTCCAGTGGTTCTGGATTCTCAGGTTTCATTTTTTAATAACTTCCATACACACATAGATGCATATATACACATACAGACACACCCATACATTTTCTCTACATAACATTTAACAGACCATTTACATCTTTGGTATCCTGCTTTTCTCCCTCAATACCATGTCAGGAGCATTTTTCCATATTATAAAAGGATGTTGAAAACACCATTGTGAGCATACATTCTGTGGCATGCTGAATGCTCGGGGCATTCTAAAACTTTCCTGCTATAGTTGGGCTTGTCAAAAACAGCCTTCCACATAACTACTGGACGGACCTCTGAGTCCTTCCCTGAGATCATCAGAGGAGGATTTTCTGGGCCCAGGGTCTGAGCATCGTTAAACAACAATTCACATGCTACAGTGGCCTAGGAAGGTGCAGCACTGCTAATCATCAGGCTCTGTGCGCAGGAGCCCAGAAGCTCAGAGGCTTTTCACACTCCCTTCCTTTGGCCGTGGCAGTCCACCCTTCATTTAAAGCACCTGTCGCCCTGGGAATGTGAGGCCTGCCGAGGTCATCTCTGCCTTGTGCTCTTGGCCTGGGTGTGAGCAGGGGGGCAGGGGCTGAGCCATTCTGCTGGGAGAGGAGAGAGAGGCCAGTGCGAGGACAGAATCAACGTGCCTCGTGGCTGATGAGGCCTCCCCCTCGTTAGGAAAGAAATCCAAGAGCAGAATGTGGTTTTCTCCTAATTAATAGAAATTCACAGAGCGTGGGCCTGAGATGCACAGGCTGGGCCCTGTCAAGAACAGATGGGTGCTCCGGATGGTTTCATGAAATCCAGTTCTAAGACTTGCAAAACAACTTGGCCTTTCTGGGAGGTTTGGTGCCTTCACTGCGTCCCCTCCCCAGTGACTTGGACGAGGGGTTTGCCCCCAGGATCCTAAGGGTATGTTCTACTGGATCCCCCAGCATGTTCTAAAGAGAATGGGCATGTGGGGTGTGGGGTGGGGGCCAGCCCTGCCTGCCACATGGGACGGCACCACCCAGCAGCCTTGTGATGGGCCCCATGACCCACTTGCTCTCAAAGGGGCATGATCGGCACGGGCTCCAGCCACCTGCTCTCCGTGGGCTGAGCCATGGTGCCCACGGGCCCTCAGGGAGCTCTGGTGGGGGAGACCAACACAGAAACAGGCCATTCGACACAGCACGGCGAGGGGAAATCGGGAGGCACTAAGCCAGGAGGCAATCACTCTTCTCTGGGCTGGTCGAGGGACCCGCGAATCCGTAGCATCTGCTGATTCCCATGGCGTAGATGCTCCCACTGGGACCAATGACAAGCTATAAAAATGGTGTCACACCTCTGCATGAGCCCATCCTGTGCCCCTGGGAGGCACTGTCCCCCCAAAAGGAGACCCCGAGGATGTGCGGCAGTTCCCAGGAGAAGGCTGGGGTAGAAGAGGGGACGAGTAAGGATGCAGCCAAGCCGAGGATGGGAGGTAAACAGCAACAGCGAAGGTTCCCCAGGCCTGGATTAGAATTCACCAGAAGGAACTGGGATTTCACACCAAGTACAAGAGGAAGGGACAGAGGCATTTTAAGCAAAATAGCAACATGATCAGGTCCGTGACTTGGGAGGATGGAATGGGGAAGCTTCCTTGTCCTCTGCCCCCCATGCATCAACAAACCCCATTTCCTCCAACTCTGGTTTTTGTCTGGAACCCTCCCTTCTTTTAGTTCCAAGTTCCTCTATCCTGGCATCATTTCTTGACTACAAAGTTGTCTTGACTGTGTTCCCGTGTCCCCCTGGCCCCCTTCATCCCAGCAATGATCTTTTTACAAAAGAAATTGAACCACGTTGTTCTCCTGCTTAAAAGCCCCTAGCGGCTTCCCACTGCATTTAGAAAGGATCATAACTGGGCCCTGCAGGCCATCTGAGCTCTGCCCCATCTCGCACCACACCCCACCCTTGCCATATGATCCCGCCACCCTGGCTACTCTCTGTTTTTTTTTTTCTGAGCCAGGTTCATTCCTGCCTCGGGACCTGGCCACTTGCTTCTCCCTCTGCTGAAAAGCTCTTCATCTGCCGCCACTTTTCCCACCTTGAAATGCTCAGCTTGATAGTCCTCTCCTCAGAGTCCTGTTTCTACCAGGTCTGACAGCTGAGATTGGACAACTACAAAATCTGGGGAAATGCATAAAACAATTCTTTGCAAGCATTGAGTGGCAGCCAATGCAGGGCTACAATCCCTGAGGGAAAGGATGCACATCAAGGCGAGCTCCACATTCTCCCTGGATTTCTCTCTGCAGCATTTTCCAAACCATGGGTCAGGATTGGGAACCCAAGCTGAGAGGGGTGGTCCTGCTTGATGGGGGACTCAGAGGCTGGAGTTCATAGGTGCTCTGATAGCTGGGTCTGTGGAGCAAAGTAACAGAAAAGAGAGAGCCAGGTACCTCCCTAGAAATGCCTGTTGGATCCGTGGTTGAATCCTACGCTGGGCAGCGCAGTGCAGGGCTTGGAGGCCTAGCAGAGAAGAGAAGCTGGCAGGCCAACTGCTGAGGAGACTTCAGAGGTCTCACCCTGCTGCCGAGATGGCAGAGTTCTGGCTGAGACCAAATTGGTATCCTCGGCGAATGCTCAGGGGACTCAGCAGCTGCCCCTGAAAGGCCATGCCCCAGAAGGAAAATCAGGCCCTAGAACTAGGTTGAAACTAACATACACCTGCCTAGGAATGATCTGGTCTGCTGACCCTTCCACTACCTGCCAGAGCAGAAGGCACTCAACACTCTCTAGTGGGAGGTGACACCCAGGAATCTCTACCAGATATCCTACATGATGTCCAACATAAAATTTCTTTAAAAATCACTAGACATGTGAAGAAGCTAGAAAATGGGACTTAACCAAGAAATAAAATAGTCGATAAAAACAGACCCAGAGATAATCCAGATACTGGCATTAGCAGACAAGACCTTCAAAATAACTATGATTATATATTTTTAAAAATATAGGAAAGATAGATGAAATGGATGAAAATATGGGGGTATTTCAGGAGAGAATGAGGATCTCTTAAAAAGGATACAATGTATATCCTAGAGTTGCAAAATATAACAAATGAAATGAAGAACTCCTTGGATGAAAGTATCAGAAGATAGGACACGACAGAACACAGAATTAGTGAACTAAAAAACGAGTCAATAGAAAATTCAAACTAATGCACAAAGCTTAAAAAAGGGGGAAAAATAGAACAGTTTCAAAAGATGTGGGATATAATCAAAAAGTCTGGATTCTAGGAAACAGAGAAAAATATGACAGAATATCTGAAAAATAACCAAAAATTCTCCAAATATGATAAAAGACTGGAATCTATGATTTTAAGAAGCTCATAAAAATCCAAACAGGATAAGTACAAATAAAACCACACCAGGCCCATCACAGTCAAATTGCCAAAACCCAAAGATAAGAAGGAAATCTTAAAAGCAGTCAGAGAGAAAATAACACACTTACTTCAGGAAAACAAAACCAAATAAAAAAAAATGACAAAAACAACCAATTTTTTTTTTAACAGAAACTGTGGGAGCCATGAGGAGACTTGCAATGAGATCTTCAAAGTGCCAAAGAAGGGGAAATCTCTGCCTATGTAAAATTCTGAATCCAGCGGGGGGGGGGGAGGGGAATATCTCTTAAAAGTGGAAGTTGAAGTTTCTTTCCATAAAAAGAGATAGGAGAGAATTCATCACCACCAGATCCTCACTCTGAGAAATGACAAACTCTTTAGGCAGAAGGAAAACAGATCCCCAGAAGTGAGAGCAAGAATGGACAGCACAGGACCATGTGGGAGATCCAGTAAATGTAGAAGATTATCGCTTGCCTAGAATAACAATAGTAACAATGCCTTATGAAGTTTATCATCCATGGGCATAATACATATGACAAAAATGAGGAAAAGAAGAAAGAGTAAATGGAGATAAACTATTAAAAATTTTGCATTATTTATTAATAATTATTATTTATTTGGGATTTCTGTATTACATGGTAAAAGTACTAATTTAGGGTACATTTAAATAATGAACAGATACATTCTGAAATCTCTAGGGTAAGCACTGAAGGAATGATACTAAAATGTATAGCAGAATGAGCTAATGGAGAAGACAAAGGAATAAGAGAAAATACCTACTCGTACCAAAAACAAAGGCAAGAAAGGAGAAATAGAACAGAACAGAACAAAGAAAATACATGGTAAGAAGGAAGACAAACACCCAATTCT